CATTCAGGGGCTGCTCATGAAGCGGCTAACAGCCCATCAAGGTCAAACATGTCACTCAATGTAACGTCAAAACTCGGGGTCGGCGACATTCCGACGCGGATCACCCCAGGTTTTGTGAGACAGTCAGTAGTTCGATGTAAGCCGGTCCCATGGTGATCTCTACCGCTGCTCTGTGCTGTGTCCTCCATGGCTAGTTCCTGGATAGAGATGGTTAGCAGTTGCAAGACTCTCAACGTTGAGATATTAAGGTGATGAGTTACTAGAACTTGGGAGGCCTGAATCTGATGTCATTTGCATCCCCTCCCTGAACATCTCACTTTGACATCTTGAAAACCTCGGTGAGTATACGACGCACGGGCGGTAAGCTTGAAATAGATCTGTCAATGACGGAGACTTCTTTTTTTGCGGGGTGATCTACTCGGGGTTCCCGAACTTCTTTGAACGGTTTAAAGGACATGGTGAGTGTCTCATTCTAAAACTTGCCAACGGATAAGACCCGACTTCCGCATGTTGTAGCGGAAGTCGGGAAACACATGTGCAAGAGTTGTGATTCTTTTGGTGCATCAATCACATGGATCTACATGGAGGTTGATCCAGTTGTGGCTTGGTTGTAGTCTAAGGATGTTGAAAGATTAGAACAGAAACTCCTTGCTTTCTGAGGGACGCTTTGCCCGTCGAAGATGGTGTGTTATTGCATAGGAACACTTTGTATTGAGGGCATCTTCGTGCCCATACCGGCGTACGCGTGTCTTTTGTGTTGAAAAGAAAAGACCAAGATTGGTTGGCATCTCTAGTTTTGCGATCAGAGACCTAGGCAGTAGGAAGGGAGTGAAGGGGATTGGACAGAGGGAGGCTAACTACAAGAACATTATAGAGTCATAGCAAACTCACGTCCACAGGAATAGAATAAAAGACTTTGTTACTCTCTGCCATTTTCCCCTACAGACTGAGACTTGATGACCGATTTATTCCCACCTTTGGTTGCTGACATGCATCGTATCTGCAGATGTGTAATGCAGGAATGGGATATCTATAGCAGAGCGCTACAGTTAGCTTATTTCTTTGGGAAAATAGTCTTCTCGGAGGTAAAAGTAAACGTTACAGACATTGAGCCGTTCTCTACATGTTCTGCTCCGTGGTATTGGGGAGTAGTAAACTCAAAACGGCAACATCCGGCCGTCATGTATCCCAACTCGGCCAGGAGGGAGCAAATTTCGGAACGCTGGCCGAGCTGGAGGCAATGATCTGGTCTCGCCCCTTGAGAAAGTCTTCCTTTCTTTTGCAAGTAGAGCATAAGCTCTATCCACTGCGTCCTGCCGTCGGACTACGCCCGGGTCTTGCCCAGAAACCCACAATGTTCATCTCGCCGCCAGTACAATACTTCTTGCGAAAACTAAGGCCTTCGTGGTGGAAATAACGGATGCTCAAACGCCAGTTCATTTCAACTTGGTGAGAGCAGTATGCTCTGCAACTTCCGGACCCAGATTAATTCCAAGACCATATTCAATCCAGATTAGGTTCGGTACGATGCCAAAAGACTTGTATCTGGTGCAGAACATCTCTTCACTGCTATAATCGCCACAAGTCTTTCGGACCGACCTCTTCGGTGAACTCATCGAGTATTTCCTCCATGCCAGTGACGTATCGTTGTCTCACGCCTAAAATGCTTATAAGCGAACGTAGCCATAAAAGCTCGTGTGGCCATGCAATACAGGAATGTGAAAATAGTTTATTGAGTTGACTAATGATCTTGAACCCAAGATCCAAAAGATTTTGAACAACTCCCAGATACCACTACTGATAGTAAACCTCCACTTGTATTTGATAGATGCCGTCATTCTCAATTCACCCTACTCGATCGACAGATTCAGGATACTCCGCCACAAGCTCATATTGGGTGGCAGACGTCACTGTCATTCGGCGTGGCTTCATCACAGTCGCGTGGGTTTTGGCCATTGACCTATCATTTCGCTTTATGGCGCAACATGCTATTGAACTATGACCGGGAACCCCGGAATCTACTGGTTAGTTGGAAGCGGGGGAAATATTGGCTCTTTGTGGAACAAAGCCCCAATATGTAGTTCGATTTAGAGTTTGGATCTCACAACGGTGTATCTACGCACGTATTTAAACTATGAAAGCCCTTCCCATCCACCCACTGGTCAACACCAATTTAGACGAGCCCCTTTTAGTCAATACTCAGTCCAGAGACAGGTTGCTAGCCCAGCTTCGAGTTATTAGTTGTACCTGAGAGGCAAAATACTAACTCCCAGTTGACAGATTCGCAACGACCCAATACCCTTTACTACAGACGACATCAATATGTGCTTTCCAGTTCGTCGACGTGCCGTTATAGTCCCTGCGGCACCAATGGCTAGACCGGTTGCATTTGTGCCAATGGCTCGACCAGCTGTAGTCGTGCCTGTCAGGCGTGTTGGAATGGGACCACGAATGGGACCACCCATGGGACGGCCAATGGGAAGACCAATGGGACGGCGTTGGTAAACGGGTAGAAATATTGCGCCATTGCATTACCATTCACAGATCGGAATGAACAAAGCGCACCCGAATTTCTACTACAAGGCAAATGTATTCTATACAGACCATTTCATCTTGACCGGGCTTCATACCACCTGAAAAGGAGACGGGAGCTCACGGCGCCACCAGTTTGGCTGTTGGAGGTGATTTAGCTCCACCCAGGATGTATTTGAGTGGGAGCAATAGTATGTAGCAGACTATGACAAACTGTCAAATTATAATATGCTGAAATATATGTTCTCAAGTAGCCATGGCTGTACAACATGAGCCTCGTTATCACTCAAACTGTGTATGCGCCCCGCCTTTTCAATGTTGTCCAAATTCCCAGAACAGCCTTAAATTCTTTTGTCACTGCGAACAAAATGGGCTGCTAAAAAGAATTGGATGATATTCATGGCAATAGATACACTATGATGCATGCCCTGCATCCAAAGCATCCGAGATACTCGTGACATCTGCTGACTTGCCAAGAAGCCAACCAACATTCTCCACCAAATCAACCTCCCATTTCTGCGCGATTTTAGTTTTCCAGAAAGCCGCCCAGAAACCATGAGGGGCTCCCGGATAAACGAAAAGCCTGGTAGACACGCCGTGTTCTCGTAGCACACGTTCATAAATTAGGCTATCATCCCTCAATGGATCTAGGCCGTTTGCTTGAACCACGGTTGGGGGCATGCCCACATGAGCCCCTGGGATATTGAATGGCGAAAGCTCAGGTGAGTGAACGTCGTAGCCTACTTGCTTCTCTGTAGCCCTGATCGAGTCTTGGTTGAGAAATGGCGCATCCTTATTTTGCTGACGAGAGAGAAACGCGTCCTTGAAGGGCTCGGGGACTGTAGCCTCATCCAGCAGGAAGGCTTCCGAAATCCACACCCCAGTCAGCCTAGGCGAGAAGTTCTCCGAGACAGCCTTCTGGCAAGTCACAGCAGCTAGATTTGCTCCCGCAGACACTCCGCCTATCAGAAAGCCTGCTGCAGGATTCGCTCCCAGCTCTGCGGAATGTGCTGCAATCCATGTAAATGCGTCCCAGCAATCCCTGGCACCATACGGGAATTTGTACTCTGGAGCTAGTCGATAGGAAATTGAGACCACGACTGCGCCATAAAGAGTAGAAATGGCGCGAGCATATGGATTAAGCTGGGCATTGTCACCTACAGTGAATGCTCCGCCGTGAATGAGAATCACCACTGGCGTTTCTGCTTGAGGACGTGAGGCTTGTGGGTCATAGATTCGGATCTCATTCTCATGGCCGTCGCGCATGGGTATCAAGCGGACCTGGCTTTTATCGAGATTTCCGACAAAGGGAGCGAGTAAGCGAGACACAGCAGCTCGCTTCTCCTCTATTGACAGCTGTTCCTTCGATGATGGAGGGCGAGCTGCAATCAACGGCTCGAGCTCGGGGTTGACGATGGAGAGCTGAGCCAGGGATTCTGGCGTTGTGTACTCTGTTGCCATATTGAGATTATCCTTCTGGCGTTTCCGAAGAGTGGCTTGTTTTGTTGGAATGGAAAGATATCTAACTAATACGCTGTATCACCTTAGGATTATATATGTATAGTGGAAGTCCCAATGCGTTAAAATCAGAGACAGTAACTCTTGTTCAGATATGCCGATTTGTCTTCCCGTGCCTAGATTAAACTTGGCAATAGATATGTCGGTACTTTCATCGGCAAACACTTGCCGTAGTAAACAACATGTTGGAGCAGCGAGGACGGGGTAAAGAGGTCCATCACGGGAACACTCGCTCTCCGAGTTCCCGTCGATGGTCCGTGGGTATTGTACGCTTCCGCGGATGTGTATTTTGTTCGGCATTATCATGTGTAGAAGAGCCATTGTATACCTCGTTTGCACGATATGTAATCATGGGCCGGCGGTGCTTGTTACAAGCGATGGAAAAAGAAGCGATTGACTAACTTGGGGGATGGGGTGTACTTCATATTGGGCTATGTGTTGCGCGATTGTTAGTATTTCCTCGCCTGTAAATGTCATCGTCAAAGAAATTGCATGCGTGCAACTCTATAGTGATGAGTAGACCGGAACTTGATGCCAGCTTTCGTTGGCATGGGTGGATGAGTGCTGCGTAAGATTCAAGGCTCTCCAAGTAGTAGTTGATCACTGGCTACCTCCCAGAAGAGTTCTTGTTGGGGGGTGGGGGGCTCAGGGGTATGGGTAGGTTCTCTGTGAATTTGCACAGCTCTTGGGGGGCCGGACACTCGAGTACTTGGATTAGTTACTTGATTTGTTTTATTGGATCTTTGTAGTCTGATGCATCCATAACTCTATCAATTGACTGATTCAAGCACACCATTTGCCTTCCGCATGCCCAAGAACACTGCCCCCGACAAGTAATCTGAACCTAGGTTGACTACCCATCTAAGCCACCCATTCTTCTGGGGCTTAAATTCTGATTACGGCCCAATCAGTTTCAACAAGCGCCTTGGAGCTCAATCGCGGTGTACACCGCCCGGTTAGCTCAATCGGTAGAGCGTGAGACTCTTAAGAGACACACGTTCTGATGTGGCGATGATGATATCTCAAGGTTGCGGGTTCGACCCCCGCATTGGGCTTTTCCTATAACACCAAGATGTGAGATGTCAAGGCGTTCATTTTTATTTTTGCTTTATTTAATTACTGAATTAAATGTTTGCTGCTGTACAATTTCTTTTTTCTTTTTTTTTCTTGTTCCCTACGCGTACAGTGTGTAATGTTAGTAATGACAACGAGTGGCTAGAATTTGGAACTGTGGGGATTGTGTGAGAGGGGTAATTAATTACCTGTCTAAAGTGTGGCTTGGACTTCCATCCCATCAACACCACCATCCACATCATAATAACAATGTAAATTTACCTTGTTAGCATATCTGATTCGTCCGCCATTCATCAACCTCTTTTTGATCTTGACCTAGACGATTCGGGGTCCTGTTTTCCCCCGCCTTAACCGAACCTCTGCGACAAATGCCTTGCCAACCAGCCAGCCACTATCTTCGTGTCGAGTTCGTCGAGTTCGTCGAGAATATCCCCCTCCTACCATTCTTCAGCCAAGCCGAAAAGGTTCTGAGGGTGTCCAAAGTCTGGGGAGACGCCGTCGATTGTAATCATTGGAACGTTAATAACATCACCACCGAGTGGCGGCACACCGTCTGCAACGTGGCTGGTTGTCATTGCGGCTAATGATTGACCACTAATAGTATGGACAAAGGCGCTGTCACTAGGCTCTTCTGTGTATCCGATAGAATCCTGCAAAGAGATACCATTCGAGGAAAAGATGCTCTCGGCAGTTGATGCTGCTCCGCTGGGTAGTGAGATCGCCAGTGCCTCTACCTGCTGGGAGGAAATGGGCAAAAGATTGCTAGAGAGCATTTGCCCCTGTCTCGGCCATGAAGGACTGATAAGAGTGTTGGGCCCTATGTTTGGCTGAGGTCTTCTTGTCGGATCAAAACCACTAGCGATAGCGGTAGCGGTCTGCGAACGAGCGAATGACAATGGCGACGACCATGACAATGGCAACGGCATCAGTTCACCAGTGAAATCGGGTACCGTCATTAAATTCTCTTGATCATTCATGGCAATCTCCGGCGTATAAGGAAGCGAGCCAACGATACTCAGCGATTGGAAACACCCCCCAAATCTTTCCAACACCCTCCCTCCTAAGAAAAGGTCGATTTGTCGTGTGAGGGACTCATCGTTGAGTACCACTAGCGTCAGAATTATCGGATTAATCCCATACCTAATGGATTGAATTTCTATCGTGGCAAACTCTTCCGGTTGGATTAAGCCAGCGGGTGTTCGAGCTGGGAATCGTAGCCTATTGCCAGGCGGGACGGGTCGAGTGCCAATACCAATTATCCGGAGAAACGCCCTTGAAATTGCAGACTGAGGTGCAAAACTATTGAAAATTGTGTACGCCGACTCGAAATTATTGTTCGCAGACCTGACACTCACTGGATATGTTGGCAGAGGTGGCTGGATGTCCGTCCCGCCTTGGGCATCCAGAAAAGCAAAATCGGGCTGTGGAACCCCTGCTGGAATTTGTCGCCCCAAAGGCAATATCTCATCGGTATAGAGAGGTGCACAAGCTGTCCTAATTTCGCTGCTTGGTCCAATGCTATACGATGAAGTTCTGGGAATGCCCAAAGATTGCTGGGGCGGCATTTCTGTATTCACCCCGGAGATTTCCCACTCTCGGGAGGCGGTATTTGTGCCACCAACGTCTGACTCAAGGACTTGTTCTGCCCGGTCGCCTGCTCCGTTCCTCAATGGGCGCGATGGAGCGGGCTGTTGTGCATTATTATAAGCCCATGCTCCAGCTCTATTCTTCTCTTTGGCACCCTTCGCCGCAATATGCTCCAGATCATCATTTGTGCGCAAAGGCTTGCGGCTCGGTCCCTTTTTCGGCATCTTGTCGCCCCCTAGAACGAATCTAATGGGCCTTGAAACCCAGGGAATAGCCTTTGCGCCTGACAATATCCTCAGGTTGACCGGTACTCAAATGGCAGCAATCCTTTGTGCAACGATGCACACAGCCACCCGATTCTTGACGAGTAACCTTCTGTGCCGATTAATCCTTGGCCTCTGGTGTTCGCTGTAGCCTATATGGTCAAGACTGCTGACTGTCGACGTCTAGTAATAGGCAAGCCTGAGTATGCAATGTTGGATTGCAGCCTGGGTTATTTTCAACTCCGGTTAAGTTGAAACTCAAGTGGCGGCCAGGGAGTGAGGTTTGTTGTAGACGGATTCTCAATGCCAAATGCCGATTAATGCGAAAGATGAACTGGCGGAGGGCTAATGATCTCCGTAGTTGAAACGTTCTTTATGTTGAAAATCCCTCAATCAAACAACGTCCAAAGCCGGATAATCATCAAACCTGGATGGCCTTGTAAGCTGAATGGTTTCCAAAGCCATTTTGTTCTGATTCGGTACCTGTCCATGTGCAGACTGCAGCTCTTGATTGAATGTCTAATAGCTGCAGAACCTTGTAACGGTAGCTAGCTTAAGATGGAATGAAACCTGGGCAACTGATGGCGAAGTGAATCTTATCCTAGACATGTAAAGTTCGCGAATTTAGATGTTGTGGGAATTCTTTGGGAGCTACTACAAGGGCAAAAGCGATCAAACATGCGGACGAAACACAAATGGAAGCAGGGAGGCATTAAGGCTTTGCACTTATTGCTTGCCAGTCATTTAATCTGTGACCACTCTTTTTGCCGCCTGTACATGGCCTTAGCAAGGCGTGATACTCTACGATATGGGTCGCATTCTGGGCATGTTGATATACTCTCAGCGGCTCACCGCTACTGTCTCGGTGAAGCAGTTCCGAAAATCTCAAGGTATTGGATTGTATGCTATAAAGCAAAGCCCGACAATCGGGCGGAGTTGGAATGCCTGGGGTTGTTGATGCAAGCGGATGCCTCAGCCCCATTGATCCTAGCCAATCTGCTGGATAGGCAGATTCGTTGGCAAACTCACCGAAATGCATCCACCAAGTAACCGGCACAGCCCAACTCAGCCGTATGCAACTCCTCTGAGGCGAGCCTTAGTTTTTTATTGGCTGTTGACATGCGAGTTGATTGTAAAAGAAATGAGCCTGAGTGATCAATGTTAAGACTACTAGCGCAACTATTTCCACACTCTCTGGGATCACCAAAGCCTGTGAATAAAAGCATCAGTTGAAGAAACAGTGATTAGCATTCTATAATGAGAAGATTGATTGCGATTGAGGTAAGGGAACTCGGGAACGATCCACTGCATCAGGTCAATTTGAAGCTAATAATAGTACTAGCCATAGCCCAAGCATCAAAACACCTGAAGCAACAATCCGCAAGGTCATGAATGACAAGAGAATTTCGAACCGATCCTATGTCGAGGCGGTGGTTGCGATACGGAAGAAACCGCTCTGCCCGCAAAACCTTCAGCAGTACCATCGGCAGCCAGCCAGCTTTCTAGACTGCTTTCATTCGACGACTACAGAACCCAATGCAGATAAAATGAAATACATACCACTTGAGCAGTCGGTAGACCTCATGAATATGGAAACTCCATGGCTACTATCCTGGACGAACACCAACAGGAGCATAGCTAGAAACAATGCTCTAGAATATAGTCAACGTGATATCCTAGACGATCTAAACCCTCCTCTGGAATATTCCGAGCTCTTCACCCTAGAACACGCTCTAGGAGACCTGAATTTGGACAAGCAATGGCCAGAAGATGCTACTGTGACAATCCTTAGTATTACGCATGAAGATGTAAAGCCGGCGCAGATCTATACCTGGAAGATGGACCAGGAAAACCCCATTCTGCTTGATGGGGATAGTGGGGCATCCCTCTCATGCTCTTCTGCGACTCGGAACTTTGGATTCTGCACCAGTCTTCTCAGACAAGATTCGGCAACAAGAAGCGATGGTCAGAGCCCTCTGTGTGCCATCTCGGGGGCAGACAAGGGTCTTCTCGCATCGCTGCTTTTGTGGATGAGCAGGATTGGTGCAGACAAGAAGGGGAATCGGCAGGCTGAGATCAATACTCATTCATGCCGAAGTGACTTTGAAATGGACAGGACAGCATCAATAGACTCGGGGTTGTTGGAGTCGGAATATAAACTGTTCTCTACCGCTGCCATCCCCATCAATCCTACATCTGACTGTTCGCACCAACTGGTGGGTGAGGAAGGGGCTCTTCGACATGACGCCAAAACTTCCGGGGTTGGTAATCATGATTCATTTGTTTAACAGATGCAAAGGCTAACATTTGTATTCTTAGCACTGCTTGGCATGCTGTTTAGACATGACTGGAAGCCAGGAATCCGAACTTGAAACAGCAGAAAAAGAGCCCCTGGCTACGGGTACCCAAGAAGATGACCTAGAGTCTCTTGAGCCGTTCGTAGACGACGACACCTTTGGCCACCCTACCTCGGAATTATTCGACGACGCCGGAATTCCGGATCAAGACGATTTTCAGAAGAATAATGCCCACCAGTATTGGAAATGGGACGACCAAGCCCAAAACTGGTGGCACTGGGATGAGGATTCAAGGGCTGCGGTGTGGGCACCACTTGAGTTCGACTAAAGGCACATGTGTCCTCATTGAACTTGGGTGTCCGTTTAGTCTGTTTTGACGGATCATCATACACTTCACATTTTTAATTTTTGACAGACGCGCAAGATTTAGGTACGGAATACATCTCTTTAACCCCGAATGAATATACCGAGAACAATGTCCCATTGATCTCATGATACATCAACAGAAAAAAATATGATGTGGATGAAATCAGATACGACATCTGATCATGTATGATGGCTAATAAGGGACTTGATACTACTGCTTTTCGTGATTCCTCTGCTGGTAAATACGGCCCTATTAGGATGAAGGGTCAGCTCAAAGAATGTCAAGAAATATAGGCGTCCAATTCTATTCTTCATACCGTCCTCGAACTACGATTATTGTGACAACCAAACCGCCCCTTTGCGGTGTTTTGGTAGATTTTCTTGTAAGTCTTAATTTTCAAGTCCTAAACTTTAACTGATCTACTCATTTCATGATTATAGCTTACAACTCACCTTTTGTCAGAGACT